TCTTTGGCAAAATTATAGCTCTGGACATTATCTATCCAACGGTACCATACACTTTTGTAAATGTTAACTCCCGACAAAGTTATGACCAAATTATAAAGTGGTAGCCAACCTGCAGCAAACTCCCCTACATCTTATTTTGTTCTTACCTAATATTATCGTTATATACTAACACTTCAGATAGTTCAAAAAATGATGAGTGCTTCTATACACTGGGTTTCGAGCTTAAGTACATTATTATTATACAATTATATAAATAACTCATTTAGTGTTTATATAGATGATTGAGTATTGTCATAATTTGATTACTATGGAGAACATGTTCATTTTTGACTTATCATTGCGTGACTTTGATTTTTTTCGACGATACTTCAAACTACATAGAAATAATCATTTAGCATTTTCAGATATGAGTCATCAATTTGTCTACTACCATTTATTATAAATAGTTCTATATTATTGTCATTTGAATCAGCCTTGGCCGTGTGGAAAAGGCCTAACAGTGTTACTGTATTAGTACACTTTCAATCAAATTACCAATGTTACTTCATTTAGTTTATATAGGTCAAATATGTCTACTTTTTTAACCGTCAACGCACTGAATCGTTGAACTCTCGGAGCAAAAATACACGCACATTTGCAGTTTCGAATAATATTTATTTTTGGCTTTTGAAAACCAATACCCCTTATCTTTCCAAAACAATTAAACTGCCACAATTCTTTTATTCTCGAACCGGCTCTCATTTTATCATTCACTTTCTGGTGTTTTTTCCTTGCTCAAATATTTAACTGCCAGGTACAAAATGTAAATAACCGCGAATGGTGCTAAAATGATATCAAGCAGCAAGTACGAAAACAAAGACATGTTGACGGCATTTGATTTCAGATGTTTTGCTCCCTTATTCCGAGCCACGTATTCAATCCAGAACATTGCTTCATCCATTGGATGCATCAGGTTATCATTGAATAAACTCGCTAATTCCTTTGCTCGATTGTAATATGATTTGTTGGTTAGCAGCTCATTCAATTTTGTTGAAAGACTTTCAAGTGTAATATCCGTGTATGGCAATTGAAGAGCATTTCCAGATGCAACCGATTTGAGAGAATTTCTCATTTGGTCGCCGAAAAACGGAATAAATAGCATTGGCACTCCACGAGCAGTTCCTGAAATATTTTTGATTTCTAAATATCAACTAAATATGTATGAAAATTTATCATCGGAAAACAAAATGATGATGACTTCAAATCATTTGAGTTTATGATCACTTCAAAGTCAATTCACCTTCAAATGTTCCAGACATGCCTAAAATAGATAAATAGAATAAATAAAATTAAAATTAGCGGATTTGAATTGGTTTTTGTATTAAATTTGACTTAATGAAGTTTTCAGGCAATTACCTCCATGTGTAATGAAAAGAATAACGTTTGGATGGGCAAGTATATCCGCTTGGGGTAGCCATTTGCTAAAAAAGGAAGTGAAATCGATGTATGAAATTATATTTCATTTATGCCCAACTTTTATATTCATACCTGATTTTTACATTCGGTGGAATATTTGGCAAAGTTTCGGTTTCAAATTTCCAAATGACTCTCTGTTTCAATTTACTAAAAATGTTGAAGAATAAAGCGATTCTTTCTGGTGGCATATCAGATGATTGAATGAATGAACCGAGAGAAAATAATATTGCACCATGCTTTGAATGATCGAGAAAGTCTTTTAAATCTTTCGGCAAAGGTTTCGGTGGTTTCATATGAGCACCTCCAACATTTATTATGGTAGGCATTTGCGGTCGTGGTTTTGAGGTGCTTCGATGCGTGTTTGTGAGAATCATAGAAATATTGTTATGCAACTCTTGCACAGATGGCAACGGTTTTCCATCGCCTGTTCAAAATTGTTATTGTCGTTTTCAACTCAATTTTCTTTTCTTAAATAGTCACAAACTGTTTGCAATAAAACAGTTATTAAAAAATCCATTATCAAAATCAAAACTCACGCGCCAGATGTCCAAAATAGCGTTGTGCGATCCTATTTTGTTTTGGCAACACGATCCAATCTCTAAGTGCCCAATCATACAGCGATAAAACCACATTGTAAACTCTTTCCGAATAGGTCATGTCATCGCCGAATGGAAGTATCATATGGGCGATATGCGACCAAGGTGTCAGCATACCCATTGTACGATCGAAAAAATCCGAGTATCCATATGTGCCTGGGTTTGATAAAAAACAACATATTTTTCCACTAAAAACCTAAATTCTTTTGCAAACAAGTAAAAAAAGATTCAAATAAAAACTCACAAATTGTAACCACCGGCGCATTAAACTTGTAGCCGAACATAAGCCAACTTTCACTAAAAAATTCTTCTATTATTACCAAATCAAAGTGTAAATCGTTGCTATGAATTATGCGCTGCACATCCGGATGTTTTAAACCATATTCACTTGATGGTGTTGCAACTATATCATACAAGTGAAGCGTGTCAAAATCACTTTGGCCGGTCTTTTTGAATAAGTCATCTTTGGAAACTGTTGAATAGGAAAAAAAAACGAATGGAACAAAATGAGTGGTGGTTTTCAATGATTTTCACTCATTGGTGGTTGGTTTTCTTTCATTGGTGGTTATCATCGTCACGCTAGTTTTATTTTATACTAACGATCCTGTGCAAGTGACCCACACACCTTTAGATGAACGCTCGTTTATAGCAGAGCTGTTTCACAAAGGACAATAACGTCGATGAAACAAAATCAAAACGTTTTTTCAACTCATTTTCTACCGAACGTTCGATTTTCTATATAAATTATCCGATTTCTCGCAAAATTGGTAGAAAATGTGTTGAGGTAAAAATTTGCTTCATTTTTGTGGGTAGAACTTACAAACAGCAGACAAATCATAGGGTGGATCGATTAAAATTTCCGTATAATTTGGTGAATTAAAATTGGAAATTTTCTTGTTCACAATTGCAGTGACATGATGGCCACGGTTAACCAATTCTTTGAGGAAATTCTGCAGTAAAAACCAGTGACTCGGACCAGGGAAAGGCACCAAAAATAGGATTTTGTAACCATTTGAAATGGCAATGAGCGAAAAAATCAGAATTAAATGATGTTTCTAAAGAAAAGACACGTTAAAATTTGATTATCTTTGAAAAGAAACCTTTTTTTCATGAAAATTTCAATGTGATTGTCAAAGTAATACAGAATATATTTTAGTATCCTGAAACTAAATTCCCTCTGATTCGAACCTACCATTTTGAAGCACATCAAACGACTGTTTCGAAAGTAATTGGAATACACTTTATTCAATTGTGCATAAACAATTGAAATAAATTGTTTTTCATTTCAACCGTAATAGAGTGCAAATCATCATTATTGAATATACCTTAGGTAAAAACAAAAAATAGCGCTAAAACATTACGCTGCTGATTTTCACTGCAATAAATTCAAAGAGAAAAGTCATTGCAAATGTTATTTCAAGTGTCCGCTTATCATCTGTTTATAGCAAATATTTTTTTCATTGCAAAAATTCATGCATATCATCATACAAAGTCATCAAATATTTTAAATAAATCCTTTTCCATTCATTTTCATTTGAAATGCATTGATCTGAGAAAAAAAATCTCTTCAAAAAGTACTAAAATGAATACGAGCGCCGTTCACATCAAATGGAGACGGTACATTCTGCAACTGAAAAAAAAGTGGTGTTATACCAGTTTTGCTATAAAGCGGCTTGATGCTGTCAAACCGATGACAGCTATAAAAATTACCGGCGATTGCTGTACGCGCTGAGTGTGATTGGTCTATATTGCCAAGTTTGTTGTAAGCCATCTAGCGGGGTCGTTGTCAACTAAACACCAGCATACAGCACCCAAAAAGTATAGCAGACGCCATTGAAACCAAGATTTTCTTATTGATCGTACAGAAACGAAGCAAACGTCGCAAAGTATTCACGCGAGCGAAAAAAAAAATTATATTCTAAAATATTCAAGTAGAAATCATTGGCGAAGACAGAAAAATGTGTGTAACAAATGGAAATTTACGTATTTTATTGAGATAGAATGTGAAAAAAATTGCCGTGTAAACTTACAAATGCGCATCAATGCAATCGTAGCAGCGAAAGAAAAAAATAGTGTTTAGTGCGTGAATACAACGCAAAGTGAAAGAGAGACAAGAACCATTTGATGTTTGTTTGTTTGTCGCTACATTTGAGTTGCGGAACGCCAGCCATTGAGAAAAAAAGAAGAAGAGGCGAACACACAAAAAAAAGCACAACTGAAAACGGAATATTGTTTTGTCGCATATAGAAAATATTGCATTTTCTCTTGTTCATATAATTTCTTTTTCGTTTGATTGTGATTTGATAGTGAGTGTGATTATTACGATAAAAATTATATGAAATTGCGATTCAATTTTTGTTGGTTTTGCTGTGAAGTTTTTTAGTGAATTAATGGCGAAAGAAAAAAAAAGTGAAAAAAAAAATCGAGACTAGAGATGAAATTACAGGTCGATGTAATGTGTGTGGTATGCATCGTTGCACATTTAGATGCATATTTGCTACATCGCCGTTTTTAGTTGCCAATTTTCGCAGCGAGAGACTTTTCTACCAATTCTATTTCGGTGTTGTAAACTTTCATTTCGACATACAAACACAGTTGTTTCATTATTCGAATGTCACTAATATCAAACAATAAATGCTTGTGTTTTATTTTCGTTCCTCCATTCTATGCAATCATAACAAATAGCGTAGTAATATTCGCACTTTGCGACCGAATTTTTATTGCAATTTCGTATATAAAACGGCATATTGTTCATGAATACCGATATTTTGAGCCATTTTCGATTGTGATTCTCTTCGTGAATAGATGGCAATGTGTTTGGCGCGATAATGTGTTGTTGTTGTATCAGTTTGATGTGATGCTATGGATTTTTTGTTTGTTCAAACATTTTTGTTTGAAATAATGAACAGTTGATTTGTTTCACACTCAAAATGTCCAATGTCAATGTTTTTTTTCTCTGTGTTTTCATTTCAGAAGCATCAGCATTACGTGTAAAAGGTAAAATGACGGAAATTATGTATCCGCAGGGGTGCAAGCCACTCAGAGAAGATTTGGGCCCAGATGAACTCATCCGACGACTGAAAGTAAGTGAAAATGTGACAAATTGATATTTTTTCCATGAAAATTCGCCATTTTTTCGTTGAAAAATCGTCAATTTCTCCTTTCAAAAATCGAAGTGTTTTCAATCAGCATTTTCACTGTCAATCTTTACCTCGAATAAACACACAATTTTCTTTGTATCCACTTCCAGAATCTGGCTCACACCCTGCAAACGATGAGCCAAGATGAGAACAAATATCAAGCGTATATTCCATTGGCATTGCACCTGGTTGATGATTTCTTTTTGACACATCAATCACGTGACGTTCAACTGTTAGTGGCTTGTTGTGTTGCGGACGTGTTGCGCGTGTATGCACCCGAAGCGCCATACAAAGAAGCCGACCAGATCAAAACGATTTTCATGTTTCTCATTCGACAATTGGAAGGCTTAAAAGATCCAAAAGATCCGGCATTCAAACGGTATTTCTATCTGTTGGAGAATTTAGCGTATGTGAAATCGTTCAACATGTGCTTCGAATTGGAAGAATCTCAAAACATATTCTGCGGACTGTTCAGCCTTTTCTTTAGAATTGTAAAGTAAGTCACAGCCCCATTTGCATCATCTTCAAAACAATTGACACATGCTAACAACAAAAATCGTTCATTTCAGTGATGAGCACAGCGGCAAAGTGAAATCGTTCATGTTGGATGTGTTGTGCCCGCTAATCACTGAGTCAGACAATGTGTCGTCACAATTGCTCGACATCATCCTAATTAACATAGTCGAGCCGCAAAAGTCATCGAAGAAGAACGCTTATCACTTAGCTAAAGAACTGATCATTAAAACAAATGAGACGATGGAACAGTACATTCAACAGGTAATCCCAAAATGCTGATACCAAAAGCCAGAGTATTTTCTTCGAAACCCATTTTAACCCTTCTTGTGTGTTCTTGGAAATTGCAGTTCTTCAACCAAGCGTTGCTCATGGATAAAGTGAACAAAACGTATCAGATTTCATCGCGAATCTACGATTTGATTTATGAATTGAATGTGATTTGCCCGAACATTTTACTACAGGTTTTGCCACAGCTTGAGTGTAAATTGAAGGCGGGTTCAGAATCGGAACGTCTGAGTAAGTTAACATTGAAGATAATTCCTTCAATTTCATCTTTTTTCAATTATTATTTCGCTTTATCGAAGTCATCCTTTGCCCCAATGTAAGTTCGCTAATCGCATTACCATTTTGACATTCACAGAGGCGGTTGCATTGTTGGCGCGTATGTTTTCCGAGAAGAATTCCAACCTTGCCAAACAGTACAGTGCCCTGTGGCGACAGTTTATTCAGCGTTTTTGTGACATCGCCGTACCGATACGCGTGAAATGTGTTCAGAGTAGTATGCACTTTTTGTTGAATCACCCAGAGCTACGCGATGAAATTATCGAAGCACTGAAATTCCGTCAACATGATGGTGATGAAACCGTTCGATATGAAGTGGTTATGGCGATCGTTGAGACGGCCAAACGTGATTTCCGCATTGTATCCGAATCGGAGGATCTGTTGGAATTTGTCAAAGAACGGACACTGGACAAAAAGTTCAAGATTCGCAAAGAGGCGATGAGTGGCTTGGCTTTGATCTACAAAAAATACTTGAGCGACGTGGATGTGCCAGAGGCCACCAAGAAAGCGGTCAACTGGATTAAAGATAAAATCCTGCATGGATACTATATGACTGGGCTAGAAGATCGATTACTAGTTGAGAGACTGCTGATCACATGCCTTGTGCCGTATCAATTAGCACCCGAAGATCGTATGAAGAAATTGTATCAGCTGCTGGGAACGATTGATGATAATGCGATCAAAGCATTCATTGAGCTGCAGAAGAATCAACTGAAAGTGCGCAAGAGCGTTTCGGATTGGGTTAAATTGCATCGTGCAAAGGAGCTCACACCGAAAATTCAAAAAGAAATGAATATCATGTGTCAAGCAATTTCCAAGTGAGTATCATTTGGCTTATGAGTATGATATATTAAGAGAACGTTTACATTTAGTTCAAAGTGACTTCATAAGAATCATGGATTAACTTAAACACTTACAATGAAATCTTACTTGGGGGTATCGCATGAAGAATTGGCTCAAGCCTTGCATTATGAATTCCATTCGGAATTTTTAAAATTCAACAAAACCGAACCGAAAAACTAACTCTCTATCTCCACTTTTCCACAGACAATTGCCGGATCCAGTGAAAGCCCAAGAGTTTTTACAGAAATTCAGCTTGAATCTACGGAAGGACATCAACTTGTTGCGTGATATGGAAACAATTTTGCGTGGTGACGTATCATGCAAAGAGTGTGCAGACACAATGACCTTAGTGCTCAAGAAATTGGGCCAGCCAATAATGACGAATTTGTACTACAACACGGTGAAAATGCTGTTAGAACGGATTGCCTCGGTGATGGTGGACAAAACGTCAATCGAAATATTGGTTGGACTCATTGAGGATTGTATGAACGGTGGATCGGTCATCGAAGAAGTTAGCCTGCCACCCGAATCGGCCGGTGAACGTGGTCTGAAACTATTGAGTATTTTAGCGTATGTATTCTCGGCACATTTTCAACATGACACCATTCTGCGTCACATGATCGGTTTGTTGAGCTTCGAAGAGGAATACGTAGCACCATACGTTCTAAAAGCGCTCACATACCTGGGCCGTTACAAGCCACTGATCGAATGTCATGCGGATTTCTTGGTGGAACTGGCACCAATCTGCAAAGAGTTGGCTATTTCGGGTTTGCCAAAGCAAGCCAAACATGCAATCCGCTGCATGTACGTGAATACCCAACAAGCAGCCGAAGAAGATCCAACACTGCCAGCCAATTTAGATATTTTCCCAGATATTGTTGACTCGTTCAAGCACACATTGGATCCAGAGCACGAGAGCTATCGCACAGCAATCGTTGCCCTTGGTCACATCGCATACAATGTGCCAAATCGGTTCACTGTCCAAATAAAGAACACGATTTCACGTCGGATTGTCAAGGAGTTGTTGGTCAAAGATGGCGAAAATAACAGCGACAGTTTGCCAACTGGCGAATGGTGCGATGAGGAAAGTTTGCCAGACGAAACCCGATGCAAAGTGGAGGCATTGAAAACAATGGCCAGATGGCTATTGGGTTTGAAACAAGACGTTTTATCGGCACAGAAGACGTTTAGGATGTTGTCGGCATTCATCAAACAGCAAGGCGATTTATTACAATCGGGAAATTTATCACAGGCTGAAATGTCATGGCTGCGTCTCAGCGCTGGCAAGGCAATGCTGAAAATTTGCGAACAAAAAGGTGTCGGCGATCAATACTCTACCGAACAGTTTTATATGCTCTCCACCCTCATGCTCGATCCGGTGATCGAGGTCCGCGAACTGTTTGCGAAGAAACTTCACAAAGGATTGAGCAAGGGAATTCCACACAAATGCCTGCCACTGGATTTCATGGGATTCTATGCATTGGGCGGACGAGAGACCGAACGCAAACTACAGAAACAAATACGAACATACATTGAAACAGATGTGAATCGTCGACGCGAATATTTGAAAACATTTGCATCAGGTAGGCAGAGTTTGGTTGATTATCACTTATATGTGTTGTGAATAGAAGTTGCGTTTTCATTCTCGGACATTCAATTAAGCAGTGAAAATAACAAAAAAAAAATTGTTTTTATTCGATTTCAGTTGAAAAAGCTATGTCGCAATTACCACACATTTTGCCGGATTACATGCTCGTCTTTGCAGTGCCGGTGTTAACACATGATCCAAACTTCACATCGGTCAGTGATCCAATTCAATTAAAACAAATTGAAAAATGTCTTTGGCTCATACTTGAGCCACTCATCACAAATCGCGAGTTCTTCTGCTTTGGATTCTACAAGAATTTGATTCAACGCATGAAAAACCATCGCGACGCTTACAAACCGGACGACCCGACTGTGAATCATGTAAGTTTTTTCGTGTTTTTTTACTCCATCTTAGTTCTTTGAATGAGAACGATTGGACGCATCTCTTTTGAAGCCAATTGACAAAAATATGGTTTAATCAAAGAATATCACATGTAATTGGGAGAAAATCATGCCCAATGCTCATCCAGCATTCGATAGCTCTGACATAAAAATACCATAAAAACTGACGATTTTTCTTTCTCTTTGTTCATTGCAGAAAATGTATGTGATTTGTGATCTAGCGATGCACATCATACTGACAAAATCCAACAACTATGACGTGCGGGACTTTTCATTAGATGCCCGAATTCCGTCGATGTACTATCAGGCACAACCAGAAAGCTATCAAAATGTACAAAATTATATTCCTGAAGTGTACCTACCGTACAACAGTAATATGGCAAATGCAACCAAGAAAACTGGTATCGTTGTGCCGGTAAGAGAATTCATACATGCTCATTTATTAAGTCATTGGTTCTAGTCTTTATTCAAATGGAACAAAAACCAAATGACACTTATCTGAATTACCCAAAAATTACTTATCTTCAACTAATGTCTTCATTCTTTTCTCACATTCTCATTTAAAAAACCGTTCCTTCCGACAGACAACACGCAAAGTTCTTCGTTCCGATGATGAGATGGCAACGAGTTCAACGGCCTCGCCCACATCACCAACATCACCTGCATTAACCATTCAAGCTGCGAACCAAACAGCCAACACAAACACAACCAACTCATCGGCCAATGACACGGATGATGAGCAAACGAACGGAAAGGAAACAACGGCCAAGACAACACGTTCGAAACAATCGAATCAAACGGATGAAAATACAGAGCCACCAGCGAAGCGACTTAGGACGCGTGCCGCCACCGCTGCATCAAACCATCAATAAGAAAAGAATATCTTAGTATAAGAATGGCGTCGATCGCTCTCACATCTCCTTTCATTCGGTTCATTTTTTTTAAACAAGTTTTGTTGACTTCATTAAATGTGGAAATAACAAGAAGGAAAAAAACACACAGAGAGAGAATTTTTTTTTTGTATGAATTTCATCGTTCAATTCATTTCCTTTTGCGAAATGCAATTCGGGACAAAACAGAAAACATTGGTCATAACGCAAAGATAATAGAGTATACAATTTAAAGAGAAAAAAGAAACAAGAAAAAAAACACATGTTGTAAGCCAAGTTAATTATTATTGCGTATAATTCATTTTCACAATGATTTCCCCAAGTTTATTCTAGAAAGATTTCGATTTAGTTTTATGCTAATTTTTTTTTCGACGGAAATTATGAAAAGAATACCCTATATTTGTTTGTTAGTTCAAAGAAATTGGAATAACATCGCTCTGAACACATGTATGACACTTGATTATACCATATTTTTTTTAAATATTCGAACAACAAACCAATTTCATTTCGATAACCATTCATTCATTTTGTCAAAATTCTACCGCACTACAAATCCAAACTACAGATTCAAACAGCCCAATACAATTCAATAATTTATTGCATATAGTTATACCCTCTGTTTATTTCATTTACATTTAGAAAAAAAGCATTTTTCATATATTTTGTTTCAAACCTTAATTTTACCAATTATGTTCAATGAAATGTAATTGCAAATAAAATGATTTAATTTTGATAAAAATTAAGAGAATAACTCAAAACGATGTGGTTTGTTTTCCAGACAGCTGTACTGAGCGCGACTGTCGCACTGCGACACTTATCACATTTTATGCCAATTTAGGCATTACATTCGATGCCATTAAATGCTCACATTAAAAGAAACCACATATTTCATGTGTGATTGGTGAGAATGTCCTCAGTTTTCAGTGTCCAGTGCCCGGTCATACATATTCGAATATAAAGAATTTTTTCAGGGTAATTAATAGCGTACAAATTACAAAGTATTAAAGTGGTTCTAGTGCACAGTGTTCACCGCATCATTTAACAAAGAATTTGCTGCAAACTAGAAAATAGTAAAAAAAAAAAATGAGTACAATTATGACTTTCATCTCATGTTCAATATACAAATTGTTTTTTCGTTCAATTTCTGTCATATTTTGTTTTCCATGTTCGAAATGGTCCGAAGAACAACAGGTAGCAAAATGTTGAATGGTAAAAAAAGGAAAAAGAGATTACCAAATACGAATACGAATAAGAAGAACGAATAGTCGCAACAAGTGAATAGCAAAAACGAAGAAAGTCAATGACAAAGCTGATGAATGTGAATGACAGAGACATAGCATAACCGAAGAAAAGGAAGAAGAGACTTCGAATATGCAAATGTCAAGTAAATTGTCAAAATCGGCAATAACAATGTCACTGCAGGTACGAATGACAGCCGATTGGACCAATTTTAATCTTCAAACAAACAATTCATAACTTTGAATGTTTTGTTTTACTGCTTAGTGCAATAAAAATTAAAATCCGGCGACAAGGATTAAAGTAAAGCTATTGCATTTTTGTGATCGACAAGTATTTGAGTTGAAGAAATGAGTGTGTTGTGTTAGTTGCAATTTGGCATTCGAAGTGTAAAATTCCGATCAAATTGTTTGTTAGTTGTATCAATTCGGAGCAAATAGAGAGAAAAATTCATCTAAACGAAGGGAAAAAATTGTAGCAGAGTGAAGGAAAAACTGAAATTTTCTGAGTAAATTGGACAATCAATTGGGACCATCACATTCAAAAAGAAGGATGACAATTCAAGTGAAGCGGTTGTTCATCATAATTACCATAGTGACAACATTGGCCGTGGATTGTATTCCACTGAGTCCGTGTCCGATGAATTTCCACTACGAGTTCGACGGCCAAGAATGGATTGGAATAGCAAAAATTTACCCACAAATTTACAATCGATTTCGAACGGATCGCATAACAATGAATTTGTGGCTAGTGATAAATCAGCACATGCCGAATCTACAAAATTTGAATTTGCTACAGCTGAAAAAGTCGTTGCAAGCGACGTATGAAGATATTGCAAAGCGACGACCAATTCAATATCGCATCAGCTTTCCATTTCGGAATAATTTCCCCGAATTACTGTTGATACAAGTGAATGGTGTTCAACTGTGCCGAAATTCGCAGATATTTTACATCCCTGCGCGCATTGAGCTCAAATATACGTTTTTTTTGCCAACGGTCGAATCAGAAGAGGAGCAATTGGACGAGTATGGCGCGAACATGTCATTTCAATTCAACCCAAATGCACCAGAACCAGCGATTACCAATTCAATGATTGAAGTGCCAAATGTAGCGGAAAGAATCGACGAAGAAGACGGTCAACAAAAGAAGCATCCACGATGGCAAAAACGTTTACTCGCAACGAACTCACAATGTGGAACATACGACGAAGACTTGAAATATACGCAACTCATTAGTGGTGGTAATAAAATAATGCCCGGCACGTGGCCATGGTTGGTGGCAATTTTTGTGAAAGAGTCAAGAGCGAGCAACCTTGTTTTCCAGTGCACGGGCAATTTGATATCGAATCGATTGGTTTTGACAGCTGCACATTGTTTCAAATCCGACTCAAAATTGGAACCCGTTGCCGCACGCAAGGTTGTATTAGCATTTGGAAGACATGACATTCGTGATTGGACTGAGAAAAATATGGTGATTTCCGATGTTGACGAAATTATTGTCCATCCAGACTATTTGAGTAAAAAGGATTCGAAGATTTTTGATGCCGACATTGCGATTTTAATCACAAAGGACTTCATTAGCTACACGTCAATGATTAAACCGATTTGCCTGTGGCCATCATCAGTCGACGGTACTCATTCACTTATCGGAACCAATGGCACATTAGTTGGTTGGGGTCAACCGTTTGAAAATGTCGACGAAAATGTCCCCAGACGATTGACCCTGCCAATTGTTCGGAATAATCTGTGCTTTCCATCAGATCGATCGACAAATGCACGGCGAGTATTTTGTGCTGGCACCGAAAAACGTGGCTACGCACCATGCAACGGAGATTCGGGCAGTGCGCTTGCCATCTACGCGAATGGCGCCTGGTTTCTTCGTGGACTCGTATCAGCCGCACTCGGTGATCCCATTTTAAATCGATGTGATCTCAATACATACGCCATTTTCACCGATATCATCAATTATCGCACTTGGATTGACAGCCACATGTGAATAGTGTGGATCGTTTTTTGAAACCAAATGTTGTGATAAAATTCAGCTCAAGCAAAACGTAATGAAGTCATTTGCTCGCGAGTTGCTCGATTTCAAAAATTCATTGACCCATTCTTCTGTATATAAATGTCTCCATCATTTTCACAAAGCTGAATCAATAATTTTCGTATTATACATATTTAGTTTGAAATTACAAACATTTAACGCCGAGTGCAATGATCGCCTTCATTTGTCAGCAGTTTATTTGTACTGTATCGTTAGGCTTGTTTATGTTATGACTTTGCATTTTGCACACACACAATAAATAGTTAATTTACGAAAAACTATTTTTCTTCTGTTTATGGAATCAAATTCAACTTATTAACCTTTCTTCATAAGCATCATAGGTTGAACATTGATTATTCGCAATTTTTCTTTTGAACATGGGTTTTCCAGATTTCTTGTTTGATAACAGAAGGTAAGATATGAAGTAAGAGCGATACTTTCACAGCTAAAATCTTGAAAATTGAAAAGATTGATATTCTTTTTGTCAATGAGTTAGATTGAAGTGTTATAAATGAATTCCAAAGTGTCTGCAAAAGCGGGACCATTATCATTCACTTGCAAAGGTAAAAACTGAATCACGTTATCCGTTATTATTAAACACATTTACTTCTGTGATGTATCGCAATTGCAAAGTAAACCCCTATTGTATGTTATTTGAAATATATGTTCTTTCTGTACACTGGAATGGCTATTTATAACTTATGTATTCAATTTAAGCCGATAAAAACGGAGAATTAATTTTATACTACATGAAAAAGTCATATTGTAGGAATTTTGGGCTCATTTGCAATATGTGTGTGCTGCGATAAAAAAAAACAACAATAGCATTACGGATGATTGGTAAATTCCGAATAATAATCAACTGAGAAAGAATTCGAATATAACAATAAGACCACAGCATCAGAAATGCTCTATAGGATTGAAAAAAAATGGTTCAACTTGAATGAATATCTCAAGAATTCGAAAATTGTGATGTGGCCTTGATTATATTTTTATGCACAATAACGTTTATGCTAGACAGATGTTGATTGTCATGTTTATGCAAATAAATGTCAAATCACCTATTGAACTATTAAATTACATCCGAAATATGTCAAGTAGTATAGGATTCGAGACAAAAAAAATCAAGCATTGTATTTTGTTTTATAACATTGTATTTTTATTTGTATCCTTAACATTTTTCATTCTTTATTCTTTATTGGTTGAGATGAAATTTATTTAACATCCTTTTACGAGAAATTATCCACCGAACAAAAATTTATGCAAAGTACACTTGGAAAAACAATAATTTCATGTTTATCTGTGTTAAAATTCTTTGTGCATTACTATAGGTTTAATTTTTATTTAATTCATCTGATTATTATGACCAATTTTTCACAATCCCCAGTTTCAATCTGATTTATAAAGCAATAAAAAGAATTACATTGGTAATACCGAACTTTTCCGTACCGTTGGCCTGCGTTGTCCGCAGGTACTTTTGGTTATTTTTTGTGAATTTTCTTGAAATAAAGGCAGTGAAAATATAATAATAAAAATAAAGTGAAAAATCGGTCACTTTAACTAAAACTTCGACAATTTTGTATGAGAGGTACCCGTAAACCGATTCTCATTGGCTTTAAACTTTCTGAGGTTTCATGTTGATCGCATTTGCAGAAGTTTGGTTTTTGGCCCTCAATTTTTTCAAAGAAAATTTCGACAAAAATTGAGGACAAAAAATCAAACTTCTGCAAATGCGATCAATATGAAACTTTCAGAATCTTATTTTTTCTTCAAAAGATGAAACCTCAGAAAGTTCGAAGCCAATCAGAATCGATTAACGGGTACCTCCCATACAAAATTGTCCAAAAATCGGTAATTTTAGTCAAAATTTCAGAAAATTTGTATGGGAGGTACCCGTAAATCGATTCCGATTGGTTTCAAAATTTCAGAATCTTATTTTTAAGTTTGAAGCCAATCGGAGTCGATTTACAGGTACCTCCCATACAAAAGTGTCAATTTTTGAGGTTTTTCTTAGGGCAAGTACCCCAGGATCAAATCCAAAATGGCTCATCTTCGAACTTAAACTAAGTTTTTCGAATACAAAACTTTCGGCATTTCCAGATTTTGATTATCTCAATTATTTTTTGAGTTATCGTGTTAACAAACAGCTACGACAACGACGACAACGACGACAACGACGGCACACGAACGGAAAAGTGCCTCAAAAAGTGGTTTTCTACGCGTTTCATGAGTTTTTATGATGATCTAAGCTAATTTTGCGAAAAAAGTTTTCGGGACCAATTCCTATACTTTCCCTTGACACGTTGTGTACGGAAAAGTAAAATACACAATTCTTCTTGTTAAAATGACTCATTATCAGTTCTGCGAATATTTCTGGGTCAACGATCTCCTGATTACAAAAAAAGAGTTGATATGTTATATTTAAAAGTTTGAGTCAGATTTATTCGGAACATAATTCGGCTATAAATATTATCGTCGTCGTGGGGGAGCAACAGTTGTTTGGTGGCCCTCGATCAAGAATGAAGCAAGTTTTCTTGGAATTTTTTTAAAAAAATAATGGATTAATTGTACAGTTGTGAAAGTGGAATAAAGTGATTTTTTGCTTTTTATCTCGTTTTTTCCATATTCTTAATTCCTTGTGTAAAAAGAGAAAGAATTCTACAAACTCATGATTGATAATTTTTATGCAAGGAAAATGGTGGAAAAATAAAAAATAATTTCGCCATATTAGTATTTTCAGTGAAAAATTTTCAGTTCAATTGTTTACTTCTTTACATTACTAAAAAAGTGGGAATTTTGCATTGGAAAAAGTATCGAAGCATTTTTGTGACAGAAATCTACAGTTTAATTCGAAGCGCATTAGTGCGTCCAAGCACCGATTTAACGCAGGCTCCAATTTAATTGTGATTATTTCAGAGTGAAGCACCAAAAAAAATGGATGCATTTTGTAATTCAACGTTCTGGGTGTGTTTAGGATGAATTTAAATAAAAAAAATTCTAGATTGAATGCAGCTGGCTGCTAAGCACGAACAAACGCCTTTGCACAGCGTGGCCATTCTCAGAAATGTGAAAAATTATTGATAATATGTTTTTTTTTGTAGGATTTGAATGTCACATGGTATACAGATGATCCCGATTTTACACCGTGCTTTCAACAAACAGTTTTGGTATGGGTACCGTGTGTCTTTCTGTGGCTTTTCACGCCTTTAGAAATTTACTTTATGAAAAGTAGCAAAAATCGAAATGTTCCGTCTGGATTTTGTTATTCATGCAAATTAACCTTAACACTGGCGCTAATTGTTCTATCTCTCGTTGATTTGACCATGGCTATAGACCGTAGTGACAGAAATACAGTTTATCCGGTATCATACTGCACACCAATTATCAAAATGATTACGTTTGTGAGTAACTTTGGCAAGCTTTTAAGAAATCCGTTCAGTTATGTTGATTTATTTTATGTAATTCTTCTTGGCGTAATTGAATTCATCCAAAGAAAACTCTCTCTATTTAGATTCTATCGGCTGTGTTGCTTGAGGCGAATCGTAAATATGGTTTGCGAACGTCAGGATTACAGTTTTTGTTTTGGTTTCTTTTGCTAATATTCGGAATCCCAGAGTTACGTGCTCAAACACGCGGCCGTCACATTCTAGTAGTCCACCATAATGCTGCCGAGCGCTATTCGATCACCAGTTATTTGATTTGTTACGTATTCTCATTGGCCATTTTTATATTTAACTGCTGTGGTGATGATGAACCACGTCAAACCAAATACCCAAAATCGGATAAACCATATCCAGAATTGGGAGCCAGTTATTTATCACGACTCTTTTACGCCTGGTTTGAGCCATTGGTGTGGAAAGGCTCGAGCAAGCCACTTGAACAGAACGATCTGTGGGATATTAATCCGGAAGATTCGTCAAAAGAATTGATACCAGTCTATTTAAAGTACTGGAATCGGCCTGCTGCCAAGGCTCCCGGTTATAATCGGTAAGTGCTTGAAAAAATACTTAATATTTTTTCAATTTTCCACAATTTGATAACTACAAAATTTTTCTATAAAAGGCATAATCAAGGGCATAATTCATAAATTTTCATTCATTCTGTTTTTGTAACTTCTACCAGTCTCTCAGACACTCCAGAGCAAGAGAAGAAGAAAACTGCATCAATTTTCACTCCCATTTGCAAGGCATTCGGATCGGCTTATTTGTTTGCCGCTATTTTGATGTTGATTCCAGATGTTTTAATTTTTGTATCACCACAATTGCTTCGTGCTCTTATAAACTTCGTTAACGCCGCAGCAGTAAAAGCACCAGATAGTACTGCAAATGGAAATGAGCCTGCACAAAATATAAAACAAAATCCATTATGGCATGGTATTTTCTATGCTGTGCTATTATTTGTCGTGGCCACCTTACAAACTTTATTGAGTTCACAATGTTCCCAACGCATAGCTATGGTTGGATTGCGTATCCGTACCACACTTGTTAGTACAGTCTACCGAAAAGCCCTACGCCTATCAAACACCGCCAGAAAAGAATCGACCGTCGGCGAGGTTGTTAACTTGATGGCGGTCGATGCACAACATTTAATGGACCTTTCAAGTTATATACATGAGATTTGGTCGTGTCCATTAAAAATTGCACTAGCGCTTTACTTCCTATATGATCTGCTTGGGTATTCCGCCTTCGCTGGTAGGTTGTTTTTTAATCACTCATCAAGTATTTACTTACTTTCTCCAAATGATACTTAATAATTGATTCTGGCCAGGCCTTGCCGTAATGATCATCTTGATTCCATTGAATGGATTCTTCGGCAACAAGGTTCTGAATCTTCAAATTCGCCAAATGAAAAACAAAGACGAGCGTGTTAAAATGATGAATGAAATTCTCAGTGGAATGAAAGTAATCAAACTGTATGCTTGGGAGCCAAGCTTCGAGGACCAAGTGCAAAATATTCGTGGAAAGGAAATTAAAGTGATGACAGAGTCTGCCTATATGTTTGCTGGAGCAGCAGTTATTTGGACCAGTGCCCCACTTTTGGTATGAATCGTTCATTGTTATTTTACGGTTTTTGTTCTGTTTTTCAACAACACAATGACGCCCGCATTTCGATCACAACTTTATAATGCTCAAGCCCAACAGCTAAGATAGATTTTACCAAAATAATCCAATCTTTTGAATATCCTCTCAATTCGATCACATCATTTAAATGTATGCAACAAGTATGTAGTATTCTTCTACAGTATCTTCACAACAATAGACCAGATTCAATTTTAAATTTCTCAAACTAAAAATATAAATTCAATTTTCCAGCCTTTCACAACGAAATATTTTGAAATTTCAGCAAGTTTATTATCATTTAATTTTTTCCCCCTATCCTCTATGTGGCCGTGGGACAACAATGCGTACACGTTACTTTTTTCGTTCTAAAGGTTTCCTTAGTGTCCTTTATCTGTTTCATTCTTAGTGACGAAAAGAACATATTGGATGCAACAAAAGCATTCGTCTCTATTTCTCTATTTGACATTTTGCGGGCTCCTCTATCATCGTTGCCGATAATAATTTCAATTTTGGTTCAAGTAAGTATACAATTGTCGACTGGTGTCATAATGCAGAATTTTGTTTTTTGAATTTGTCATCAATTGTTTAAGCTTAGCTTAAGTAAGTCGACACATCACGAAATCACCTTATTTTTTTGGGAGAGTATAGAAAAAGAAAACACCTGTAAATTAGATGAAATAGAATTGAGATGAAGTAAAATTGGAAAGATTTTTGCTGCAATAAATTCGTGCGTTTTTATCTCCGCCATGCATCATCGCTAATCTATTCTTATGTACGTATCGACAATATAGGCCAGTGTTTCTGTGACGAGAATCAACAAATTCATGAACAGCGAGGAATTGGATCCACAAAATGTATCGCATGATCCGTCTGATGGTAAGGATCATATTGACTGAAACAAATTTCCAATCGTTTCAAAATTGTTCAAAATAAATCTAATTTTGCTCAATGTGATCGTTACTTTTATTGTTACCGTAGAAACACCTTTTTCAATTGAAGGTGGAACATTTAGCTGGGGCAATGATGAACCAAGCCTGAAGAACATTGATTTACAAGTTAATAAAGGCCATTTGGTTGCTGTTGTTGGTACAGTCGGATCAGGAAAAAGTTCAATTATTTCCGCGATCTTGGGTGAAATGGACCGATTATCGGGTCGTGTCAATACAACCGGAACAATTGCATACGTTTCGCAACAGGCTTGGATTCAGAATGCTACACTTCAAGACAACATTTTATTCGGCAAACCAATGGATCGCAAGCGTTACAATCAAGTCATTGCTGTTTGCGCATTGAAACCGGATCTTGAAATGCTTCCAGGTGGCGATGCAACTGAAATCGGTGAAAAGGGTATCAATTTGTCTGGTGGTCAAAAGCAGCGTGTCTCACTCGCCCGTGCCGTGTACAACGATGCTGATATTTACCTCTTGGATGATCCTCTCAGCGCGGTGGACGCTCATGTCGGCAAGCATATTTTCGAAAATGTTATCGGACCAACGGGTGTTTTGGCCACGAAATCCAGATTGCTCGTGACGCATGGCATCACCTATTTGCCAAATGTGGATAATATTTACGTAGTTAAAGAAGGTGAAATCAGTGAATCGGGTACAATGAAAGAATTGATGACCAAAAAGGGTGACTTTGCCGAGTTTCTGATCCAACATTTGGAAGAAGAAGAAGAAGAGAATCTAAACGAGGAGGTCGAGAATTTGATTGAATTTGAAGAGGATTTAGATGAAATTTATCACCAAATCGAATTGACAACAGGATCAGTCTCAGTTGCAGAGCTTCGTAGAAAATTTGAACGCGTACTAAGTCGATCACACAATCGTTCAATCAACAACCAATCACCTAGTGGAGGATCACGCAATGAAATTCATTTGGAAACGGTACCATTGAATGAAAATTTATCGACTGAAAATACAATTTCAAATGAGGACAGCGAACATAGTTTAGATAATTATGTCAATGATGACGATAGACAAAAACTCATTGAGGATGAGGATGCTGGAATGGGAAGTGTCAAATGGGATGTATACAAGCATTATGCCAAGAGTATTGGTATTTGGTTAGCTATTTTAACCATCATTTTGAACATCGCTCACCAAGGACTGGTTGTTGGATCGAACATGTGGCTTGCAAAGTGGTCAAATGATATAGCAGCTTCGAATGATACCTACGAAAGAAACGTTTACTTGGGTGGTTATGCTGGTTTTGGTTTTGGACAAGGTAAAATGTCTTCGCAAAGTAATACGGTTTGTTCGTTCATACGGTTGGATTAGATGAATTTTTGATTAAAAGAACAACAAATATATCATCAATTGAACTGTTCGTAGAAGACTTTTCCTAAATTTGGTTTCTAACGAATAAAAACATTTGTTATATTTACAGTTTTACTCAGTTTTTGCACATGGTTGATAGTAACGTTGGGTTTTATAAATTCAGCAAAAGTAATGCAGGAAAGTTTATTGAAAAATGTGCTTCGCTGGCCGATGGAATTGTTCGACACGACTCCAGTCGGTCGAGTGTTGAATCGATTCTCAAAAGACGTGGAAATGGTCGACAATGTATTGCCAAACCTCATTCGATCATGGATTGTGATGTTTTTCATGGTAAACTCCACGAACATATTTTTTCGAATTAAAATGAAATATCAGTCATCTAGCAATAATTGAATAATTTAGGTTTTAGCAACGCTGGTCGTAATCACGATATCAACATATATATTTTTGGCCGTTATTTTGCCACTTGGTATTGTTTACTATTTTGTGCAACGATTCTATGTGGCAACTTCATGTCGATTGAGACGTCTGGAATCGGTATCACGGTCGCCAATCTACTCCCACTTTGGGGAAAGCATTCAAGGAGCATCGATCATCCGGGCATATAACGTTCAAGAAAGGTAAACAAAATCAGAAATTGTATGGGATTAAAATGATCAAATTAATACGAAAATCAATTTTCATATGCAAGGTTCATTAAGTGTTCCGATGATCGAGTTGATTTCAATCAAAAATGCTATATTCCATCCGTGTTTGCGACTCGTTGGTTGTCTGTTCGTTTAGAAATGATTGGCAATTTAATCATTTTGTTCGCTGCATTGTTTGCTGTCTTGAGTCGCGATACACTCGATCCAGGAACGGTTGGACTTTCGGTTTCATATGCATTGCAAATTACGCAATCGTTGAACTTTTTGGTACTTATGACAAGTGAGGTTGAAACCAACATTGTTGCCGTTGAACGTATCAAAGAATATGC